CTCTGGGGAGTGTGCTGCCCCCCGCACCCCTTCTCCGGCTCAGCAGCTGGTGCCTCCTGGGTTTGTGGGGGGGAGGGGGTGGCCAATCATCGAGCCAGATGGGCACGGGGGTGTCCCCTAGCACGCTTCCCAGTGGACCACTCCTGGGTTCACTGCTAAGCACATGGAGGCCCTCCCCCACTCCTGTGGGACTTTCCATCTTCCCCTGCATCATGGCAATCACAAGCCGCGCTAGTACCTTGAGGTATGTAGAAAAAATATTTAAAGCTGTGTCTATGTCCGAATTGTGATTCTCCGAATCAGCACTGAATCTTCAGATTTGGATTCGGCCGAATCAAATCAGGGACAGTGATCCAAGTCAACGAATCGAATGACTGTCCCTGACTTGGTCCGAATCCGAATCGAGTAGGGCCTGCTTCGCACGCCCCTATTTTTAGATATAGTCAATTCCAAAATCGTAAAGAGGTGTGTGTGAGGACCAAGTCAGATAATGTAACAGAAACAGAAGCAGTGTTCTCATCAGATATAATCTTTATAATTTGCAATCTTGCTGTATTGGGGATGTTGATGTATAGAGATGTGACATCTGTGGCAGCTAATATGGTGTTTGCCAATTTTTTTGAGAAATGTGTAGTGTCTTTGAAAAAGCTAGAGCTCCAGTGGCATATGGGAATAGGATGGATTCAATTTAGCTAGAAACTCTCTGTGATCGTGCCAGTACCGAGACAATGAGGCATCCTGTGCTGCTTGGTTTGCGGATCTTGGGTAATAAATAAAAATTGCTAGGACTGGGATGCCAGGAGGAATTCCTGTACCACTGCAAAAAGAGATGTATTAAAATTGCTTGGGTTTGGGGTTTTAATCTGAAGATGAATGGCACTTGACGTCAGTTCACTGAAACTAATTATCTTAACCAGAATTTACAAAGAGCTCTATTGATTGCATGCAGTTCCATTACCAATACTGTGAATTGTAATTTATACTGATTGCTAAATTAGTGAGAGATCTTTTTTTTTTACCACTGTAGCTAGTGGGAGCTGCCTTAGTAGGTACTGCCTCATGACTGGTGATCCTTTTTCCTTCTCAGACTTCACCTTTCCATGGTCTTCACAGAAGCAGAGGCATCTTAATGTTTTTGAACACCATTATTAATAAAATGCAGGGTCTCCTATTAAACTGCTTCTGTATGAAGTGTAAGATGCAGATCCCAAGCTGTAGACAGATTTTTCTGTCCATTGTTAAACTTTAGCATATGCTCCTGAATTTGAAATCACAGTTTGGTTTCCTTCTTTCTCCATGCTTTTCCTCCCATCCTACCAAATTCTCCTCTCTCCCTCCCTCATCATCTCTTCATCAGTTGGAGTAATGGCCACACTGAAAGCATTATCTCCGAAAGCCATTCAGTGCTTGTGAGCTCATCTGTAGAGAACAGTCGGCATACAAGCCCAACAGGACCCAGAGGACGCTTGAACGGCATAGGAGGTCCACGAGACTGCAACAGCTTCCTCAGGCATGCAAGAGAGACTCCCGACTCCTACCGAGACTCCCCTCACAGTGAAAGGTACTACCACGAATTGATTTTCCTCTCTCAAACTGGCAGAACAAGGTGGTTCTAAATCTAAATAGATCCAAAGCAGACCTTAGTAGCTTAGATCTGCAGAGGAAAACTTAGCAACTCTGCTCCTTTAGGGAAGGCCCCTCCTCATTCATAAATATATGAAGCAATATACTAGTAGTTTTAATCTATCAAATACATGTCTTCCTTTCCTTCCTCTTCTGGACCCATCTTATTGCCAATGGGTAGCAGTTCATGCTTGGAGAAGCAGAACTAATTTGCCAGGGATTTTCAGTGCAACATAAAGATAAGAAGTGATGTAGAAGCGGACCTTTTGCCTAGCTCCGTTAGTCGGTACACAAGTAAGGAGGCATGTGGCACTTGTCAGAAACAGGAAGCAAAGATAAAAGGGGAAACATTTCAAAAGCACCTAAGGGTATGTCTACACCAGTGGGGCCCAAACTTCTGTCCCCATGACCTGGTTGAACGGTGTGCAGTTCAGTCTGTTGGCCTGATCCCATGCAAGGTTGATGTGTGGGGTTGTTCCATGGGTACAATCCTGCACAATGGCTTGACCATGTGTCAACATGATCAGTCATTGAGAGCTATATTATCTAGCCGCAGGGCTCTCTATGCATTCAGAAATTGGGCAGCAAGGGAGCAGCAGTTAACACAGTCACTGCTACTTCACCAAATTTCTGGACACTTGTGGAGCCCCACAGGTCAGATGACATGGCTCTGTAGGCCAGAGGCTGAGTGAATACCACTGGTCTACACTACTAGCTAGGGCCACTCCCAGCAACCCACCAACCCACTCCCAAACCCACCAACAACCTACATTAAAAACCCCTTCACTAACCCACCTTGGCATCTGTCCACAGAAGGTCTCCTGGTCATCAGGGTCTAAATGCAAGCCTGCCTTCAGATCAGTCCCCCTGCAGTATAATCAGAATTCACCCAGGCTGAAGGCTGAAAACACAGGAAGTCTGGAGCACCTGACTTCCAGCCCTTCTGTACCTGACTTCCTGTCTCTCTTGGTTATAATCAGAATTAAACATAGATGGAGAGACAAGTAGTGGATAGACAGATTTTTCGAAGTGTTTTAGTGAAACCCTTCTAGAAATTCTTCTGCCCATTAACATCTCCTTCTATGTTTGGTGTGCAGCTGTAGCAATGTTATAGACAGGGAATAGTGGTTCTTATGATTTGGGCTAATTAAGAGCAACCATCAGGTTTGATCCTAAATAGCATGTAAACATGCCCTAAATGATTTAGGAGCTCAAGACCCATTGACTTTTAGTTTGATTTTTGCTCCTAAATTTTTATATTCCTTTTGAAAATTACTTGAATGATTTAAAAGTAACACAAGGATAGCAGGAAAAAGATCTCAGGGCATGATCAAGTTACTTTCGCTGTGAACAGTGCTAATTGAGAACTTTTCCACAAAGTGAATTTCCACTTTGTTCATCCAGACCACAGCTCCTGATTGAAATGCACGTTTCAACAAAACTGGCATTAGGAGCAGTTTTCCAGATCCAGAGCGAAACTTGTTCAAAACGATACCAGGATAACCGGGTGGACAGACATTTGCCTAGGATGGAGGAATCTCAGGTCCAAGTCTCTGCTTTGCATCATTCAAACTTGGTCTCCCAGAGAGCTGTGCTAGGCTGAGTCAATCTATCCTTTGAAGCTGCTCTATTTTGTCTAAATAACTAATTATTCAGTGGGCCAGAGAGAGAGGAGGGCAGGACACAAAGCAATGTGTCTAAATTGCAGCAAAGTAAATCTAGGTTATATCTCTGGAAAAAAATTCCTGCTGGTAAGAAGAGTAGGACAGTTGAACAGGCTGCCCATGGAAATGGTGGAACCTCCTTCACTGGAGGTTTTCAAGCAAAGGCTAGACAGGCATCAGGTCAGGCACGGTTTTGGAGCAGTGCATCCTGCAGCTGTGCCGGGGTCTGAGACTTGGTCTTTTCTGGCCCTATGATACCAGAACTCTAAATCCTGAATCACATCCCCTCACATCCCAGGCGGTGCTTGGAACACCAAGTGGTTGGCCGTTCTGAATCAGGTGATTCTGTATACATTTTGTCCTGGTGTGGAACAGGAACTTCTTTGAAACTGTTGGAAACATTCACAGGAAGGGAAAACAGCTTGCAGCCCAGTTCTATTAATGAACCAAGCTGCTGCAGTCAGTGAGTATAACTAAAGCCCTGTGGCTACAGTGGTCCAAATTAGAGTGTCAGTACAAATAGTACAGAGATGCAGCCACAACAGAAGAAGCAAATGGATATTTGCAGTGACTGTATTGCATTTACAGCAGCACCTGGAAAGACCAGTCTGGATAAGGGCCCTACTGTGTATGTCTAAAGGAGCAGGAGGCAGAACTACAGTCACTGTCTAGCTACATATTTGCATCTCCAACTTTTAAAAACAGGAAGTTAATGCCAGTTATGCCTCTCTGACTCTGAGGCCCCAACTGATGGGCTATAATTTAAGCTGCGGATGGTTACAGAATGATTTGGGTTAGGATGCAAGGAATGAGATAATAGAAATGAGAAGGGGTATCTGCCACAGACCACAAGGATGTGAGGACAGGGAGAACAAAATATTTCTGGACTCTCTCTCTAAGCAGTGTGAAATCACAGTGAAATTTTAACGCCCCAGATGTCTGTGGTGTCATAAATACAGTCAAACCAGCATCATCAGAGAGGGTCTTCAGTTGGATTTTACTATCCAAAAACACAAAATGTGCAACTAGAGTAGAAGCCATCTGTCTGATAGCAGTTCTTACAAGTACAGAGGAACTAGTTAAGAATGTAGTGACAAAAAGGACGCTTGAACCACATGGTGTGAGCTGTCTGAACACAATGCCTAGGCCTGCTACCCTTAGCAAGTGCTAGGTCATTGTTAGCTGCAGGTTTGCTAAGGAAAACTGTCTGTAACTTACCAAGGAATTTAGCTTTCAAACAATGCAAGTGTCTAGCAGCTATCAGAATCCAAATCATATAAACAGCCATGGCCCTGAACCAACAGAGCACAACCAACAGAGCACTTAAACACATGCTGCACTTCTAATCACATGAGTAGTGGATTACTCAGGTGGGTTAAGTTAAGCATGTACTTAAATGCTTTGCTGGATTGGAACCTACAGCAGTAAATACTGCATTTTGAACCATCTGGGAGCCATGTAAATTGTATTGCCAAGTTCACACTGATGAACTGTATCATACTTCGGCATATTTGATCCTCTGGATGCAAGGAGAAGAGATTGTTTGCCTGGCCCTTCTGGACTATCCAAGGTCATCTGAGCAGCATTTTGACACATTAACTTTTTTTTCAGGTATATGTCTTTTCATTCCAGCTGGGAGGAAGAGGGCATCTCTCCAAATATTACATTTCCTGAAAGAAAATGTTCAGGGAAAAATACAGGCAGCATTTCTCCAATAAATCACCAGACCTTGATCTCCTCCCTGAAGTGGCTATGAGGTCTGAAGAGGAGAGACATTTCCCTGGGTGGTAGACTAGCCTTCATCCATCTTCACCATGCACAAAATACATGGCAAATATTTCTGGTACCTGAAGGGTGTGTGCGTGTGTGCACGCGCATGTGTATGTGCAAGTGAGCAAGAGAGTTATTCTAAAATATACCAAGTTTGAAATATAAAAATATAAAGCATTCCATAAAGTAAAAATTACTTCCTTACATACCAACTAAAACTTGGCTGTACTGTGAGTTAGGAAATCAAGAATGTGTTTCCCTCACATTCTGGACCCAACAGCTTCTCTCAAATTACATTCTGCATTGAGAGTGCAATGCAGGTTAGGGGGACTTTGTCCTCATCTGCTGTTACAACAGCTCTAGTTCCATGGAGGTCCCTGAAAAACCATGAGCTGCTGCTAGCTCTGTATTCAATCAGCTATTCTGTAGAAAATACTTGCCACTTCTCAATATAGAGAAGCTTGCAGAAATGAGCTCTTCCCTGACATCTGGAGCTATACTAACATAACTAAAGTTATAATTTTCTATGGATTTAGTTCAGCCAACACAACTTTGTATGTGGATGCAGTTTAAACTTAGCTTATATCAGTTGTGTCAATAAATTTACAGGCACAAGCTAAATCTATATAAGTAGCTTTATGCTAAAAGAAGACTGTCAACACACAACTTCACACTGGTGTGTCTAAAACTGATTTAGTTAAAACTCCTGTATGTAGACAAGCCCTACAGTTATCAGCTGTAAACCATCTAAGGCATGTTAGTGGAGATAAAAAGATTTCAGTGTCCTGGACACCAGCTATCTGGACACTGAGTGGGATAAACGCGTATGAAAAGAGGGAGTGATTTTATTTTAGTTATTTGACAAAATGAATTAATTACTCATTAATTGCTCACAAGTAACCAGCTTGACTGCTTGACAGGAAGGACTGACTATAGCTTTCCTTTTTTTCCTAGAAGCAATGGGTCAGTTCCTTAAGTGCTTTAAATCTGTGTAGCTCTACTGAAATGAGAAAATCTAGATCAGTTGCCAAGAATCTAGCTAGGTTTTCTTTTTTCCAAGTTATATTGCTGTGTGTAATCAAAGCAAATAAGCAAATATTGGATAGCCAGAGATTAGATAACAAATATGACTTCATTTTGATTCTCTTAATTTCACTCAGACAAATATCCACTAATTAAAAGCAAAGTGCTCTCACTAGCCATAGCAGTATAACTTGCATGAGCAGGTCTGCGGAAGACATTCATCTTGGGTTGAGCTTACAGTTGAATATGACTGAAATGGAGCAAAGCTCAGATTAGAGAAAAAATGGGCAAATGATGCAAGATTTCTTACTGAGCATAACAGCAGGTAGGTGAGCAGGGCATAAACCATGATGCTGCTTAAGGGAGAGACAGGAAAATGGAGCTAAGGGGGTACCTCATCCTCCTGTCCCCAGGGCCCACCCACTCATACACATTCTGCACCTTCCCTGCAGTGGCTCTGACAGCAGTGGCAGTGCAGGATACAGGACCAGGATGTAGGACCAGCGGCCGGAGGTCCACTGCTGGAAGGAAAGGAGACATCACTTCCTTTTTTGCTGCTAAAAATCAGTGTTTAAGTGAACATGTGGTACGTGTCAATGGCAAAATAAAGGAGGTGACATTTCCCTCCTGCCAACTGCTCCTGTACCATGGGCCATCACCACCCAGGGCATGTTACTGGTCATCTAGGGATGCCTCCTAGATGATGGTTTAGTTCTATTTCTAAAACTCACTTCAACTGCTAACCTTCCCCAGAAAGATATCAAGGGACTCAGAGGAAATTCTCTACAGGGCCATTAACACTGAGCCAAAACATCTTTTATGTCTTTTGTTGTTACCACATGAGGATAAGAAGTACCACATGTTTGGATTTAAGAATCTGTCACAAAGCCATTACATCTGGGGTTTAGTTCCACATCCCCTGTGGAACAGGCAGAGATCCCCACACAAAAAATAATAATTTACAAAGTCTGAATAAAACCCCATAAGGATCATGTTCCATGTAAGGTAAAGCTGCCATGACGGGGAGAGATTTTTCAATATGCAAAGACAAGCACAGTGTTTATGAGATGGTAATTATAGTGTGGGCCAGATACTCAAGTGCTCAGTAGCCAGCCGCTTCCATTGAAAAGTGTGGAGTATCCTGAGCCTTTCTGGTTGAGTACATTGTAACCTGAGGGATTGGCCCATATTACTAAACCCTCTGGCTCAGTTTTGTACAGTTAGTAGAACTAACTGCTGTGTAACACACCACTTAAGCCAAGTAAAGGTGGCAAAACTTCTGCAGACAGTTGCACACATCATTCAGAAAAGGCATTCCTCTGTCCCTGGAGCTATCCAATTTGACATCACAAAAATGTGAGAAATGGGTAATGGTAAGATGACTTGTTGTTCTTGAAGTCAGCATTCCTTAATGATTTCTTTTATGTTTAATCCCTTCTCCACCTTGATGGGGCCTTTCTGTGTGTCTCCTTATTCAGGTATGTATCAGCTATGACCACCCCAGCTCGCATGTCACCTGTAGATTTCCACACTCCAAGCAGTCCAAAGTCCCCCCCTTCAGAAATATCTCCACCAGTATCCAGCTTAACTGTGTCAGTCCCTTCTGTGGCGGTGAGCCCCTTTATGGAAGAGGAGCGGCCTCTCTTGCTGGTGACTCCACCACGGTTACGGGAGAAGTATGACCATCACATTCAGCAGTTCAACTCCTTCCACCACAATCCTGCCCATGAGAGCAACAGTCTACCCCCTAGTCCTCTGCGGATAGTAGAGGATGAGGAATATGAGACCACACAGGAGTATGAGCCAGCACAGGAGCCTCCAAAGAAACTAGTCAACAGCCGGAGGACAAAGAGAACAAAACCCAACGGCCACATTTCCAACAGAATGGAAATGGACACTGACACAAGCTCTGAGAGCACCAGCTCTGAGAGTGAAACAGAAGATGAAAGAATAGGCGAGGATACACCTTTCCTGAGCATACAGAACCCCCTAGCAACCAGCCTCGAGTCAGCCGCAGCCTACCGACTGGCTGACAACAGGACTAACCCAACCAGTCGGTTCTCTACACAGGAAGAATTACAAGCAAGGTTGTCCAGTGTAATAGCTAATCAAGACCCTATCGCTGTATAAAACATAAACACACACATAGATTCACATGTAAAACTTTATTTTATATAATGAAGTATTCCACCTTTAAATTAAACAATTTATTTTATTTTAGCAATTCCGCTAATAGAAAACAGGAGAATTAAAAAAAAAAAACTTTTATAAATTAAATATATGTATGTACAAATGTGTTATGTGCCATATGTAGCAATTTTTTACAGTATTTCAAAATGAGAAAGATATCAATGGTGCCTTTATGTTATGTTATGTTGAGAGCAAGTTTTGTACAGTTACAGTGATTGCTGTTCCACAGTATTTTGCCTAACCTTCCAACCTTCAGTTTTCCTGGCTTTTTTGTGCATTGCATTATGGTAACTGGATGTATGATTTGCAAGAATTGCAAAAGTCCCTCTGTTTGCTTGTAGTAGTTCCCAGTCAAAAAGCCCTGTAATGAATGGCAAACTCACCCATCCACCTCCCCCAAAAAGAGATACTATTTCCTTCTATAAGAGGTTTTATTTGCTTTCCATATATGAAATGAGTTTTGTCTGCTCTCTGCCAGCCAAAAGGTTTGCTTCATTGGGCACTGGAATAATAGTAGATCCAACAGCATGCTACTATTAGTTACAGCAGGATAACAAAAACTGCATTAAATAATGTTACTTATTAGAAGGAAAGTAATACTGTGATTTTAAACTGAATATATTACTAAGCAGAAGTCAGCTTGTACTCACTAGAAGCTGTCATTTCATTTTTTTCAGATATTAATTGTTCTAGTTATCTCTTACAAGACGGGTTCAGCGTAGCTGAGGCTGCAAACCCAGAACCTTACAAAAGAACAAGATTTCTATTAGTTTCAGTTAATAGGGAAACTATTATAGCAGGTATCTGTAACCAACCAAGGAAGAGAACTAGCTGGAACAAAAAATGCCACTAATAAAGGTGCAATCATATTTTACCTGTATTTTTAATGTTGATTTTTAATAGACAATTTATTCTTTTGTTTGCAAAAGGATGCAATCAGAGAAAAAGCCAACCTATAGGAATAAGTGTTTTGTAACTTGGTAGTGTGGCTATTAGAATGAGTTTCATCTTTGTACATAGCAGCAACTGGCAGGGTGGAATTAGTTAGCTGAATCATTAAAAAAGAATAGATGGTGGGAAAGACGTAACCTAAAACTTATTGACTTTGCATCCGGTGGCCTGTTTCACTTTGTTTATATATTTATTTAAATTTTCTATCAAAGGCCTATTTCTGTAGACAAGCACGCTGCATTGATCAGGCCCATAATGTGCATGGGGACTTGTTATGAATGTGCATGTGACCAGTGACTGCATTAGAATCTGTGACTGGGAAATAGACAAATGTGGTATCAATACTGGGATTGTTGCTCCTTTTCAAACCAAAAAAAAAAGCAAATGGCCTCTTTTGCACTGAATTCTGATCAATTTAGTGAGGTGACTGCCTCTTACTTGATTTTGCTTAAGTTCAGTTGGCACAACGCAGCCTCAGGACTGATGTTAAAAGCAAATGTTCTGTGTGGCCTCCTGAGAGGATGATATGAGCACATCTGTTCTGTAAGTAGTAGTGATTCTAAATAAGAACCATCTTAGTACAGCAAAAACATCAGCCAAACTGTATTTACGCCTTGGGCCATGTTCTGATCCTCGTTGCTCTGAGGTAAGCAAGTAAAAAAAAAGATTGTGTTGGACCTGAAGTCCCAGTTCAGCAAAGCACTTAAGCACATGCTTAGACCCATCCCCAATTGGAAAAGCACTTAGCACCATGCTTGAGTCCCAATGACGTTACTAGAACACAAAAGAAAGTTACATACATGCTTAAATGCTTTGTGGAGCTGCACTGAACTGCCAGTTCAGGACCTAAGGTTGGGATTTGGCTTAGTGCAGTAAATGAAGCTGCTTAGTAGTATGGATAAAAACACTGCGCTATAGCACTGTATGTTCAAAACAGAGTGTGTAAACACAATTTTATTTTGAGGTGAGTAGGGTTAACCATCCAATCAAAGCAGTCAGGGAGTAGCAATAGGGTTGTAATGGAATCCTTGTGGTGGTGTACAAGAATGAGCAGGTGTTCTCGGTGAAACAGCTCGGGCAGTGGACTTGGGTGTGTTTTGTGTACAGCCACGTATTTGAAACACATGCAAGAGACTGCAGCGTTCTTAATTACTGTATTACCACGATGCAGATACCCTCTGCTTTCCCTCTTGTTTGCATGCATATAGTATATCTTCATCCTGCTTCACAGTGTCTTTTTATTCCCTCTGTACACAACCCAGGGCCCTGTGTAAATCCTGGATGCCAAGTACTCATTTTGCACACTATTTATTATTACTGCTTGCAGTACAGTAGTACAGGTAGCCTCACCAGAGATCCCATTGTGCTAACCACATGGAAGAAGGCCTGTTAGGTGGAGGTTCCAAAAGTGGGACATGGGCTCTTAAATTAAAAGCCTGCTCCAAAACCCACTGAGGTCAGTGGAAAGCCTTCCATTGATTTAAATGGGGTTCGGATCAGGACCTAAGACCAGTCGCTTAATGACTAGGTTATAGAGAAAAAGGATGGGAGTGGAATCAGGTAAATAATTGTCAAAGCTTGGGAGAAAATCAGGTCTTTAGTACCCTTCCAGTGAACTAATTTTATCCACATGGCAAGGACACCAATACAAAAGAAAGGAATGCCGAGGACCTGTGCATGTGTGACACTCTCCATGCAGGGCTGGGGAAATAGGTTGCATTTCTTCTATTGCACTGATGAGCTGTCAAGACAAAAATACTCCCCCTCTGTACATGTGGTATAGATCGCAATAGGGTATGAGCCTGAGAGTTTTGGGATGGGGCTTTCAAATGGCCCCAAGTGAAAGTCCATGGGGGTTGGCTGTCTCACTCTACTCCTTTGAAAATCACAGCAGGGCCTGGGGTGAGCCAGCAGAATGACTCTGGGTTTACATTAGCCTGAGAAGAGCATCTGGCCCCTCAACTCTCAACTTCTCTAATACCCCTGGAAGGACTCAACTCCCACAGCTTGTGCACTCCCAAGATGTGATTCCATCTTTTACATGCAAGCTGCAGCTGCGGGAAGAGGGTTGTCACCACTTGTATTTGGGCTTAAGTCAGCAGAGATGCTGAGTAATTCCTGGACTCTGTGCCTCTTGAAGGACTGAGCCTGACATGCGAAAACCTAGCTGTTAGCATCAACTTTAGGAAGGAAAGCCTATGCTCTAAGGAAGGACTAGCAGCTCTCTCAGGGCCACTGGCCCCATCCACCCACAGCTCTTGGTCTGATAGGGAACCTCTGCCAGACCTTTTTCTAACCCTTATAGGAAGTGAAACAGCCATCTGAGGAGGAACACTGGAGCAGGGAGGTCAGGGGCAGTAACTCTGTCCTGATTGTCCTGATTTCAATAATGACATCCCCCAGTTTGGCTTTGAGGAAATTCCACATGACCTGACAGTCCTGTCTGAACTGTATCCCAGAAAGGGATGTGTGAAATACAGTGGGCCTCTTCTTCAGTTGGTACATGTCAGCACAGGTTCACCAATGCCTGCTTCCACTTGCCAAGAGTTGCCCCCCCAAGGAAATGGCCAAGCTGCTTCTGCAGAGCTCCTGACAGTGACACTAAAACGCATCCCCCACCTACTTATCCATGCTTTGTGAGCACCAGTCCAGGAAATGAGGCAGGGAAGGCATGGAGGCTCCATGCTCAGTATCTCTGTCTCCAGCATGCTTGAGATCAGCAGCAGGGGCAGCCCCCAGGGCAGCTTTGTGGCTTCATTTCTGGGCTTGACATGCCTGGAGAAGAACAGGTCAGCAGGGCAGGGTTCTCAGAGTCACTGCCTAAAGTACCGTGAAGCTGAATAGATAGACGAATGCTTACCTGTCCCATGGTTTCCCACCTCATCCACCTGCAAGAGTTGGGGAGGACAATTATTTGCTTTCCCAGGGAAACAATAAAACTTCCTTTCCTTTCTCTCATTTCATGACAAAGAGACACCATCTCCCTGTTCCTCTCCAGTTCCCATACCTTTATACAAATAATGAAATGATTACTCGTGCATCCAGGAAACCCATTTTTTGCCTGTGAGGTAGGCATCTCTCACCGTGATGATCCTAAACAAAGCCTGTTCTCAGCCATTGGCACTGGCTACGTTCCATCAGCCATACTGACTTCCGACCAGAAAAGCACCTATGAAATGCTGCAGAGAAATGCAGACAAAGAAAATGGCCACATACCATCATTTTAATTATATATTCTGTTGTAAATACATCTTGTACATACTTGGATGTTTTTGTGATCATTTACTGTTATTATGGGTTATGTATCAATGATGCTTTCTCAGTTTATTGTGTAACACTGTAAATAACATAATCTCCTTCATTATTTATACTTAGGCATCTAACACACAGAGAGAGTTGTCTTCATATTACTTTAAGATCTATGACAAAAATCTGTTTGTTTTCCTTTTGCTTTACAATGTAATGTATCATTTTTCCTCCCCTTCTTCCCCCTCCTCCTGCCTTTTTTTTCCTTTTAAAGAGAGTAATAATTTATTGTTCAGGAGAGAGAGAATGTATCTGTAATGCAAACTGTTCAAAGAATGCACCACGGAAGGCCATAAGGTACTGATAAACTAAAGAATTTATTATCCCAAATACTAAGCAATAAGTAATTGTTGATTTATTTAAGTTTTTATTGTTCATTCTCAGTAAAAGAGGTGCTGGAATAAATTGCTACTGTGTTGTACTGGCACAGTTGCTCAGCAGACTGCTTCAGTCCATTAGGTTTTACCTTTCTGGCTCCCTACCCCAGCGTGGTGCTACAGCATTATGTTATCTAGCTCCAAAATTTCCTTTAGTGCGTTACATTCCTTATTTGTCATTTTTGCTGGAGTTTTCCCTTGCCCGCATTTCTAGAGTGGAGCGTCCCATCCAGTCTGCTGTCTCATGCCCTTGTTCCTAGAGTTCAGATGGCTCATTACTGATGCAAATATAGTGTCATAGTTTCATAGATTTAGGGTTGGAAGGGACCTAGTAGATCTTCTAGCCCGACCCCCCGCCAGGGCGGGAGAACAACAAAACCCCAAAACAAAAACGGGACTCAAATGAGTCCAGCCAGGTAGGCATCCAGCCTCTTCTTAAAGACCCCCAGGGTAGGGGCCAGCACCACTTCCCTTGGAAGTTGGTTCCAGCTCCTAGCCGCCCTAACTGTGAAGTAGTTTTTGCGGATGTCCAATCTATACCTCCTCTCCATCAACTTGTGCCCATTACTCCTTGTTATGCCAGCGGGCGCTAGGGGAAACAGCGTCTCCCCCAAACCCTTCTGGTCCCCCCTAGTGAGTTTATAGACGGTCACCAGGTCCCCCCTCAGCCTTCTCTTGTGGAGGCTGAATAGGTTCAGGTCCCGCAGTCTCTCACTGTAGGGTCTGCCCTGTTGTCCCCGGATCATGC